TGAAGAAATTTCTTTGTTTTGAATTTTTTCTTTTTTTCTTTACCTTTCCCATATTCCCTTTTCAGTGGTACTTTTTTTTTGCAAAGGTGGCTTGTCAGGATTACTTCTTGGGAAGAAAGGCCACAATCAGATGTTTTTGTTATTCTGTCAGACATTATACATCATCTGAAGAGGTGGCTAAGAAAATATTCCCTTACAGGGATGTAGTTGACTTCTTACCTGACTGTGATTTAATTTAATATTGTTGCCATAACTCTTTATTTTACAGGCCATGCCTAGATATTCTCCCTCCTTTGTAAGTACACCCCCCTCGATTTACCATCCAATAACCATCGTTGCCATGGTGCTCACATCACAGTGGGCGTGGCCAGAGTGTCCTGGTGACTCCAATTGTTTTTTGTGCACCCAGGTCATTCCGTACAAGGCCACCATTCGAGGTGGACTTCGTGCGGGGAGGAACATCACCATCCAGGGCGTGGTCCATCCGGACGCTAAAAGGTCTGGTGCAAGCAGGATCTCACACCTGTGTGACACAGATCATTTATATTACATTTGATTTATTTAGCAGATCGTTTATCGAAAGTGAGATACAATTGAGAAAACCAGATCAGACAGTTCCTGGAGCAATTGAGGGTTAAGGGTCTTGCTCAGGTGCCCAACACTGAAATCACTCTGCCAACCATGGGATTTGAACCAACCCCCTTCTGATCACAGGCGCAGCATACTAACCCACTGAACCACACACAGCCCCATGGTGTGTGTGACACCAGGATGTAGCTTCATGCATTTAATTAGCTATTTGCACACATCAATGGTGATGACAGTCACTTTATGCATTGAAAGCAATTTTTTTCAGCCTGAGGTCATTCCATCAGTTTATAAGAGAGGTTTTGTTCTCTGAATCATGTGCTTTGTCCCTTTGTTGATCATTGGGGGTTAGAGGTAAGGAGACACAGGACAGGAGAAATAACAAAAAAATAATGTCTTCTTGACATCTATACACAGGTTCCACGTCAACCTGAGCTATGTGTCAGGGATCGCCTTGCAGTTGAACCCCCGCTTTGATGAGAATACAGTGGTGTGCAATAACCAGGAACAAGGCAGATGGGGCACGGAGGAACGTTCCGGAGGCATGCCCTTCAGCCGAGGCCAGATGTTCACGGTAACGGGCGCCATCTCTACTCCTTTCCCACTGAATTTGCTGGAGGTCTTGTGTCACAAGTGTACTGTGGTTGGATACTGAAGCATCTACCAACTACTTCTCCAGTACAGGTTCGTGGGGAGTTTGGAGCCTGTCCTAGGCAGCATAGGGCACAATGCAGTGGTACATCCTGGATGTGATCGCAGGGCACACAGAATCACACACTTACTCTACATGTGTCAGTTTCTATGTTTTCCTTGTGTCACTGTGGATTTCCTCCAAGTTCTCTACTCCCCACTTTAACTGCAATGGTCACATAACGAGTCCATGCTTGATACTGGTGTTTGCAAAGTATTTATTCTTTGGTTAGTGTATCTTGGAATATTTGTATTTGAAACAAAGTACCAGTTGAGTACTCTGTGACTGTGACTCTTTATACTCAACTGGTTCATTGAAACAAAATCTTGGTCTGGATTTGTACTCTCTGGACCTGAAATCTCCACCGTGAAAACAAAGTTTAAAATAGAAATTTTACAATTACAAATATTTAGTGTCTCTCCAATAAAACTCAGAAATACACATATACATTTAATAACCAAGTTCACCAATTTAAAACAATATAGATCGCTAGCCGTAAATGCATGGTATGCTAGCACACGGTTAGCGATATTAGAATAAACCATTTACTGAAATCTTACATCACTTTCCTAACTTCCTTTTGCTTTAAAAAATTAAAACTGTAACAGTGTACTGCAAATAAATTAATTTTATTTCATGTGTCTGCCTTCTGGACCAACTGTAGAATTCACGAACTTCCCGCCTCCTAAATCAAGTGCATGTCACGTTATCCAAATCACCACACGGTATTAGCTGCATCCACCACCAGAGGGAGTGTTTGGCTCAAATATTGTACATGTGCTCTGTGATACACTGCCACTCCTTCCAGGATGTCTCCTCCCTTGTGTCCTGTTTTTCATTGGATAGGTTCCAGACTCAACCCAGTACAGGAAGAGCCCGTGTGGAAAAATGGGCGGAATAGATGAGTGTCACTATGGATATTAAAGCTATCAATGATTTAAATACAATAAACTCAAGTAACGTCAGATATGCAGGAGGCCGTGTCACTAGTCATGCTTTGCTTCTATGTCTTCAGATATCTGCTTCTTCTCTGAGGCCTCATTCTTTCTTTTCAGATGATTGTCATTTGTGAAAGTCATTTGTACAGGATTATCGTCAATGGCGTACAGGCATTCACCTTCAACCACCGCCACCGGAACTTACGGCAGATCAGTATCTTGGAAGTGGATGGAAATCTGACCTTGACCTCAGTAACGTTCTGAAGAAGGCAGGCGGTTTATCAGATTATATGATAAAACAAATGAAAAAACAATCTAATATATTCCTACTTCTGCCAACTTTACCTGTATGTGTCCATGAATAAATTGATGTTGAAATTATACTCCTTTTTCATTGTTAACTGAACTTTACCAGCAGTGATTCATATTTATTGAAAGCTTTGGCTAAATTCTTTCATACATAATGCAATCAAATTTTTGGCCGATTCTGATTTTTGCCGACTTTTGCCGATTCCGATTTTCTATCTAAGAACTATAATTCATAGCGTATACAAACAAAAACAATCTTTTGTTCAATGCAAAATTTTATTTTCATAATAAGAAATTAATAGACTTTACAATTTCCAAATTCCACTAAGTTACATGATCTTCTCTCACTTCAACAGGTCTAAAAATAAAGTGACTTGAAAGAGATACAAATAGCAATTTACTGAAAGTTAGTTGCTGTAAAACCAACTTTATCTGACATTTTCTTTACCAATCAAGAGCAGGTGCAACACATTTAAATAAAACATAGGTTACAAACCTCCAAAAAAACTGAAGTTTATATACAGTAAAATCCAATAATAGTGGACTCACTTATAACGGAATATCATCTATAATGGACGAGGTCCGCTGGTCCCGGCTGTGCGCCTTTACGAACATGCAGAAAAAGCATTGGATATAGCGGATTCACATATGATGGATTTTCGCTTATAACGGACAAACAATTTGGTCCCCAGGGACGCTTCTTTCTTGTTCGGCTATAACGGACATGCAGGCTCCGCCTACAAGGTGCGTGGCGTGCCGATGATATCCAGCGCAGATACGTAGTTGGGATTATTAATAGTCAGGCATCTGGTCCAGTAAAGTTGGATTATTACATGTACAATATAATAATCTACACCACAAGTGTGTCTGCTGGGGTGTGGCATGAGTAAATGGTGTCCTGTGGTTATGTTCTGGGCATACAGCAACTCTGGATATAACAGACTTTGGATATAACTGACTGTTTTGCCAAGTCCGTTATAATGGGATTTTACTGTACTATACTCTTCCAAAGAGTATAGTAGTGTCCGAACCTGGAAGACCTGGGAGCCATCTGGCACGGTAGGAGGTGGAATCGCCACGTCCATCGGTGGGTGAGCTGGGCTATAACGAACAGTTTTAAGGAGGGAAGAATGAAAAGTAGGGCAGATATGGTACATGTGTGGTAGATCCAACTGGAAGGAGTCAGGACCCACCCTTCGCACAATCTTGAAGGGCCCAATAAATCGAGACGACAACTTACGGTAGGAGGGCATTTTTAAGGTTGCAGGTGGACAACCAGACCCATTAACCCACTTGGTATGGCGGTACTAGTCTTCTCCGTCTATCGGCCTGGGCTTTTTGCTTAGAGCCCTGGTGGGAGAAGACTCATTGGACCCCCTGCCAAACACGTGTAGCCCCGCGGCACCACTCCTCCACTTGGGGTACCACACTGGGATCTGCCTCCCATGGGAAGAGTGGAGGGGAATATCCTAGGATGCACTGAAAGGGACACATGTGAGTAACAGGGTTTGTGCAAGTGTTCAGTGCGTACTCTGCCCAGACCAAGTGTACTGCCCACTCTGTAGGCTTGTCCTTGCACAGAAGCCTGAGAGCTTTCGATTAGTCCTCTCGGCCAAGCCGTTGGACTGTGGGTGATAAGCAGAAGTCAGACATCAGCGAGATGTTCAACTTGTTGCAAAGGACTTTGAATACTCGGGATGTAAATTGAGGGCCTCTGTCTGACACGATGTCTTCAGGGATTCCAGACTTCGGCAAGGTCAGAAGCATTAGGGAGTTTAAGCAGCGTTACACATTTTGGAAAAATGGTCCACAATGATTAGCACAACGGTGATACCTCTCAAGGTAGGTAGGCCTCATGGGACCTGGGACATGATGGAATGGGAAAGATGTTCCTCTATGTACAACCCGCACTGCATCAGGAAAGCCTGACAGTGATCCGGATTGCAGTCATATTCTTCGGGCATGGTGATGGGAACCGGAGCGGACGCTCTGGGAGGGGAGGCAGGTAAGCTGATCGGAGTCGCTCACGCTTCCATGAGCTGAGATACCAGAGACGTCAAGTGATAGACCTGCTGCTGCAGCCTCTGATTCTCTGCGGGGTCCATGGTAAGGCGAAGTATTCTGTAGTGTCTGGGCACCAGAGAAGAGGCAGACCCCGTAATGCGGGAGAAGGGTTTATTAGGAAGAAAGCTGGGTGCACCAAAAACCAAAAGGGAAATCCAAGCGGGTAGTTGGGGCGATCGCGGGAGGTCTAAAGCCGGAGAAGTCAGTCCTACAGGCAGAGACGAGACATGAAGACGATGGGATGGTAGAGAGGATGAAGACAGGGCAGGGAAGGCAAGCAGGTCAGGCAGGACAGCAGGGCACGATGAGGCAGGCAGGGCAAGCAAGGAAGACACGAGACAAAGGAGCGATCAGTATATGTCATTAACATGGCAACAATACTTCGCACTCTCGGTAATTCGCTTTGGATTGAAATATTGTGTTGGGATTTGTGGCAATTGCTAGCTGCTGTGTTGCCCCGCCCCTGTGGGCGTGACACATCATAGATATTGTTCTCTCCATCACAAGCGCACTTTTCCCATGTTTGCTCACTTGGAAGGACACGGGGGCCGCGGAATGCTGGGGTTTTGCGGAGGAGTTGGTTAAATTCCAATTTTTCAAATATTTTCAATTTTTTGTGAACCCTCATGTTTGCATCTGTAAAACAGAATGGAAAAGGTGAAACTGCCAGTCGATCTCAAATTTTCTCCACTCCTTCATGTTTTATCCATTAGAAGGGCACTCGGTGAGACACTCCCACACGTTTTCTCCATTAGAAGGGCACTCGGTGAGACACTCCCTCACGTTTTCCCCATTAAAAGGGCACTCAGTGAGACACTCCCTCACGTTTTCTCCATTAGAAGGGCACTCAGTGAGACACTCCCTCACGTTTTCTCCATTAGAAGGGCACCAGGAGAGGGTGGTCATTTTTTTCTGTATATTCTCAGATTTCTTCATTTATGATGCTTTTGTATATATGATTCTTATTTGGTAGTTAATATTATTATATGACTTTACTATCTAAGAAATCAAATGTGTGTGCTGTTACTTTCATTTGATCTTTTAAGATCCAACTCCATTAAACAGCTACAATCCATCTTTCCTTCATAATTGGTTTTGCCTGTAAGGAGTTTCATCTGCCAAACCATTATACCCACGTTCCTGGTGACCGTATTGGTGAGGAGATTCTGCTGTACGATCTGCTAGCCCAAGTACTCATGTCCCAGTGTCGATTTGCTAGTGCTGTTGCAAAAGTTCACCTCTAGTGGGCAGTAGGACTCCATATTTTCAGCCATAGAGCCTTTTCTTCCATCCCTGGTTAATTAAATATGTCATACCTTCTGTATTCCCAGCATGATTTTACCAGCATGTTTGAGTTTTAATATTGATGTATCATCATAGAAATGAATGGCATTGTTTATGTTATCCCCACCATAAATATCCATCCATCCTTCCGCTGTCTAAGCACTTTGAAGTGGGGGCGTTCCCTGGGACAGTCTCATATGTGGAAGAAGGATGCATATTAAAATAAAAAATAAAATTAACCTGTATTGTTGATATTATTTTTACAACTATGAATTTATATTTCAGCTAAATATAATTTATTGTAATATATAAATAACGATACTGTATTTTAAATGCATAAAGCAGCAATATTTAGTGTCAGAAATATATTCTTCTGGTATATTTGTGAACAACCAGGCATGCATGTAAAGCCATTTTATTTCTGCGCATTACATATACAAAAATTTTACTGTAGTCTTATACATAAAATACGTTGGAAAATAAACACCAGTCTCGTTGCTTTAGTTGCCGTATACGGTTTAAAAGATGTCTGTCGCGTTGCTAAAGCCTGCCCTGGGTACATACTGAGCTACATATACAATGATGAGCGACGATCTCCTTGAATGTCCAGTTTAGCTCCAGTAAACGTAAAGAAACTACATGTAGATTGCATATATTTGGAGTGCGCGCACTGTGCGGGAGCGCTCCCTTCTGGCCCATTCATAATTTGAGGCTTTTTCCTCCATTCACATCTTAGAGCGCGCTCCCACGTGGGCCCCGCGGCACAGCCCCTCGCCTTACCCTACTGCCTTTCGCCGATTGTTATCGATTGCAGCGTGGCGTGTACCTTTCCGGCGCTGGAAGCGATGTTGTTTCAAAAATTCACCGTGCCAATGTTCAGTAATTACGAGCTGAAACCCGAAACGCCGGGAACTTATAAGGCATGGTTAAAGATTAGCTTCTCCTCTGGGTTGCCTTGGTTAGCAGTTGATTAATCACGCTTTGCATTCCTCCTTGGTAAAACATTTGGAATAGGGGTCGTAGACATCTTGAAGTGACGTACTGTGTCTTATTTCCCAATCTTATATTCTATGAAATAACGCATGCATTGCATTCACAATTGCATACATCTCTAAAGAATTTGTCGCGCTTTCCATCCATACCATTAACTTTTGCATACATTATTTGCACGGACAAACTTTGTACATTATGCGGTTGGTAAGATTAACTACATTTTCTGTGTGGCACGTGATTGGAGGAGGAGCTCCAGAAGTTATGGAGACAACCTTCTTTGAACTGTAATGCTGCATTGCACAGTGCATCTGGACTGTCCGCACACAGAAGATGATTAATTACTTTAAAATATGGATCACATTAGAATAGGGCTTATATGAGAACCAGGAAATATCATTTGGGATGGGATACTGACAACCGTTGTATCTTACATAACACTTGAAGACTGCACTCTTTCTTGGCATCGAAAATTAAATTAAATCCTCCCCTCCTCCTCACACACATCCAGCCCACACATTCTCTCGTCCTTACAACTCTGGCCCCTCCCCCGACTCCTTTCACAAACACATTCACAAATAACGAGGCTTCACATGAGATCGCCTTCAATGAAAATGTCCCGTTTTACCTGTAAGGGGAGGGGCACGTCCATTAAAAGACAGAAGATGCAACTAAATCATCGTTACGTGTTTCCAGCCCGACCAAAGCTTCACGCACACCCAGGTCATGTTATAAC